TTAGTATCCCCAAATAGATTTTGAAATGTTTTCACATTTAAACAAGTATGGAATCTAAGTTTTTCAAATAGCCTTCGGGCTAGTTTTCATAATAGAGTATAGCTTAATAAAATGAAGCAAGCAGGAAACTATTATTTCCAAGAGAGCTTTTAAAGTTATTTTTTGAGCATTAATCTCAAACCACATGATAGGTATGTTTTAAAAACATAAGAGCTAGTATATTTTTGGGAGTAGTATTGAGCACCGATGTGGGGATGCAAGTTTCAGATTAACTCAAGTCTCCATGAAAACCATGTAGTCATCATGGATAGAAAATGGTCATACTTTTTAGATGAATCTTTTTCACAGTTTACTAGTGGATTCATTAGGAAGTTCAGGTCCTATACTATGGCAAAGTAAGGATGTTCCTCGGCAGCGTGAGGTAAAGCGTTGTACATCACTATAAATATTAAGTGATGGTTGTTGATTAGAGAAACTCCCACAACAGTAATTGCATGGTTTCAAGAGGTTCTGCTTAGTGTGAATGGGGGTATGGGACTTCATTCATTCGTTGCACGAGTAGACTTTGAGAGGAAGCATGATATGTTTTCTTCATTATTAAGAATATGCGTTTACATCAGATTATTTTTACTTTTACATACATCCAAGAGTCAATTGTATTTTTGCATACACTAAAATGAAAACCAAGTTTTAAACAACTTTTGTTTATATTGCTCATGTCTTTAAACTGTTATATAATGAAATGAGTTAGTTATAATAAGTTATTTATTCATGAGTTGAACAGAGTTAGGTAAGTGTTCATTCTTAATCCTTTTTCAAGCTTAAGTTGTTGTTTGGAATTCCAACTCGCACACTCGTACATTCCTTGTAGTGATGCAGTTGGCTTGCATCATATCATGATGCAGATGCACGTAAATAGGATCGATATTTCGGCACACCGTTGATCCAGTGAGTAGTTTAGAGTCAGTCGGTGAGCCTCTTTGCTTTCTGGAGAATCCATTTTCATTGCTTTCTAGTTTAGTTCATTAGGATGTTGTGGGGTCTGCCCCAAGATCCAACTCTTTTATTAGAGGATTCATAGATAGTAAGTAAAATGTCAGTTCTTTTGTCATACTTTTTTTGTTATTAAAATATTTTCATATTTGATTTGCCATTTTGGGTAAGGTAAATGTTAATTTTAAAACACTATGATTTCTGTTCCAGCCAATTGAATTAGTTAGCATTTTTATCTTTGTATTAATGCTTTATGTCTCGCGCAGAGTTAAGTAATCAAGGCCAAGTGTTCACTCAAGATCAACAATGGTCATTGGGTGCCGGTCACGTCCTGGGTGTAGGCTCGGACGCGACACCTAACTCCATATTAAGACCGAACAACTGCTCTTGATACTAATTTGTAGGAAATATAGAAGGAGAACACTTTACTTGGAGACTGCTCAAGTTGTATTAGGCTACTTAAGATCACTTAAAATGATTAGAATCATCTACTATATCTCTATTTATACTACTCAAAATATCGAATCAAAAGTTTCGCATAAATTAACTAAACATATGTATCACAATTTACTACTCTCTTTGTTTAATTTTACTTGTCACAATTTTACTTGACATACCCATTAAGAAAAGTGTAAATTACATAAATTTCATAGTTTTGATATGAAATTATAATTTATCCCCAATAAGTTTCTAATTACAATAATTCTTTAAAAATAAAAATACTCGAATGTAATTATTGAAGCTCAGATACATTAAATATTGTCTTGAATACATCATTATGTAGCTCGGATACATTAAAAACTAGTTCAGATACATTAATATTGGGTCAAATACATTAAAAACTAGCTTAGATACATTAAATATTAACTCAGATACATTAAATACTGACTCATATACATTAATATGCGCATGAATACAATAAATAAGTAAGGGATTATGAAGATTTTTTAAAGTAATAGGGGATAATGGAAATAAGTGAAACAAAAGGTGTGTATTTTCTTTAATTTGTCCTTAAGAAGATCATTATAGACATAAGTATTTTTACCAAACTATCCTCGATTAAATGATGTTTTGAAAATGATTTGAAAAATAATTGTTTTACACTGACGTGAAAACATGGAAAAACATAATTGTATTTTCATGATTTGTCAAAAGTAAAAAGTAAAAATGAAATTTTATTTAAAAAATAGGTGGCAAGTAAAATAAACAAAGGAAGTAGACACAAGTATCATGAACTCCAAAAAGACTTTTTGAAAAACTAAAGAATAGTATAAAAAGAGTAAACATCAAAAATAATATCCCCGTGAATGCATTAGTTCCAAGGGTCTTAACCCGCTAAGCAGTTGTCCACCTTATAGAAGACTTTTAAGTGTTAATTTGTTTTTCCTACTTATTATGTTTTATTAAATATTAATTATATGATAAAGTACAAAATTAAATGTGTAGCATCAATGTTATGAAAATGTGAAGGTGAAAAAATTAAGCTAATAAAACATCAGTAATGTCGAACAATGATGTGTAGTGTTTGAGAGTGAGGGAGGGTGAATAAGAGTAGGAATAATTATTGTAGGGAACTTAATCCATGTGTGGCTGGTATTGTATAATAATATAATATAAATAAATATGATGAAAGTTTTATTAATACATTATATTTGTTGAACAAATTAAAATAAATAAACTAATAACAGTTGTATTCACCTAACACTGACATACTCATTTGTTATTGAATTTAAGTGTGCTCAAGGAGTGGTCGAAGTGAGACAAGTTGAGGTGGTGGACTCCACTCACAATTAGATATATACCACTAAAAAATTTCACTCTAAATTAGAGAATCGAATGTCCACCATGATCGGGTTAGTTTGAGTTTTTCAAATATTAAATTAAATTATTTGTATAAAATTTTTAAATTTATAAATCAAATTAAATTAATATAATTTGGTTTTTTTCGGATTTTTCAACCTCGGATTGTTTTGAATTTTTTCAAATATCAAACCAAATCATTGTGCCAAAATTTTAAATTTATAAGTCAAACCAAATAATAAACCACGATTTCCCCCCCAGATTTTTGGATTTTTTCGGTAAAGTTAGCATAGAAACATATAATTAACTTGTGCTTCAAATTTTTTTAGTCCAACCAAAATACAATTATCTAACTTTAAAAAATAACACAAAATATGATATGAGTTGATAGACACTAAAATATTCAATTAAAAAAAATAATGAAATTATCATATAAAATAAATACTGTAAAGTCATAATGAAAATGATCATAATTTAAAAGTACTAAATCATCCTAAAATAAGTTTAATAAGTATTAGTTACATTGCTAAATATTTAAGGAAAATTAATATTAAATTATGTATTTTAATTATCTAAACCAATGTAAAACTAAAGAACAAATATTGAATATTATTGTCATTTTTAGTGTTGAATGATTTTCTTTTTTCATTAGTATTAATTTGATTTTTATTCAGGTTTTATTATAATTATCAACATCTATGAACTATAGTCTTTATTGAATCATTCCGAATTCAAAGTTTTACCTTGAAATAATATATTAATAAGAAAAACTATGAAATACTATAAGAAATATTATAAAATTATATCAAAGTAAATATTTTTATGTATAAAATAAATTTTAAAATAACATATATAATGTCAGATTGGTTTGGTCTCAGATTGGTTTTTTCAGTTAAAACCAAACGAACCAAAATATAATCGGGTTTTTTTCCAATACCAAACAACTAGTTGGATTTTTTTCGTATTGACTCAATTTGCGGTTTTATTTGATTTTTGGTTCAGATTTATACACCCCTAATGAAGATATACTAAGATTTTTTTGTTTGTACTCGATAAATATCTTAATTTTAATTATTCATATCTTAATTATTAAGTTCACTTGTTTCTAAAGTTAGAATCTTAATTATTCAAATTTTAATCATTCACTATATTTGTTTTTCTTATTTTGCAACCATTTAATGTGTTTGAAAATGTATGAATGAAATCAATTAGTCTTAATATCATAAAAATGTTAATAAAGATTTTTAAGTATAAAATGATAGTTCACCGCTATTCCATCAACTTTCATCCATCACTCACAACTACCGTTTCAGCCATAACAACTAGTCTAACACCACCTACCATCCACAACCACCATCCTCAATCCAACCACAATAATCATTACCAACAATTGTTCAAGATAAGGATCAAGCAGAATATAAGGATAGAAGTTGATCAACTTGGTACTACTGTGTTAGCTATTAAAGAGTAAGAATGGGAATAGGACTAAGTTATGTAGGTGTAGTACGTAGTAGAAGTTAACCTCTACTCTTGTAATTGTATTTGTAATGTAGTGAACTCTAAGTGTAGCTAGCCAAGAACTATATAACTATGTATCTAATCTATATAAGTAACATGTGAACGAAATTTTTAATCATCACTATGATCCTTAATTTTTCTCATTCATTGCTTGAGATTTCTATATGATTTTAGAGATTTAAGATTTTTTGTTGTCTATATATTGAATCTGAAATAATCACATGCATTACTAAAAATTGTCAAAAAAGGACGAACAAAAAAGCGACAGATAGCGTCACTACAAAAAGCGACGCAAATTGCCACACCGTCTGTCATTTTTAAATAAAAAAATTATTTTTCAAAAAGTGACAAATGTCATCTCTTAGTCCGTCTTTTTTTTTTTTTGCGGATTATATATATATATATATATATATGTAATCAATAATTAATTATCTTATATCGATAGGTACGCAGTCCATCACTTTTTATTTAAAATAATTATTTATAAATTTAAAACTAACCACATTGTTCGTCACTTTTGATTAGTTGTTTTTTTAAAAGAGAGATGGACGACATCTCTATGTCCGTCACTCTTTGGTCAAAATGACTAGTCAAACATTTAGAAAAGTGACGGACATCGTCTCTAGTCCATCGCTTTTTGTTCAAAATTTTGGTCAAATATTTTTATAAAGCGCCGGTTAAGAGACGTTGTCCGTCATTTTTTAAAATTTATATTGAACCAAAAAGCGAATTGTCCCCCATTTTCCCATATCTCTTTCTCTCTCTTCTCTCCCTTCTCACTAAAATCAAAATGTTGCGCCGTCGCCACCCCACATCGTCGTTGCGTTTTTCTCTCCTTGAGAGTTAGTCCCCTCGCCTCCCTGCCCCATCTCCGCCGCCATCCATCGTCCCACTACCTCGTTTCCTTAGCTTATTAAGGTTAGGGTTTGATTTTAGTTATTTTTTTCAATTCTATTAATATTTGATTTGTTATAAAATTCGTATATTGTTTTAGTTTGATGAATTGTGTGATTCAATTGTTAATTTGTATATTTTATTATTGTTAGTTAGGGAAAGAGTTGGGGATTTTTTACTTTAAGGTTTTCTTGTAAATTGTTTTTTTTTTATAAAAAAAATATGATTGTGAATTGAGTACTAGAATTTAGAACTAACAAATAGTTAGAAGTTAGAAGTTAGATTAGTTGCATTTTTCAGCTTTGAAATTCTTGAATTTAGTATGTTTGACATTGAATTGTACATGAAAGTTAGATTACTTTTATTGGATAGTATATGAAAGTTCAAATTAGATTAGTTGAATTTTTCAAATTAGAAGTTCTTTAATTTAGTAAGTTTGAAAGTTGAAGATAAAAGAATTGGAGATTTTTCAATTTGCTATTGTATTTGTGCTTATATGCATTATATTGAATTATTGTTGTTCAAAATTGGGTTACTTTAATTTTATTCTTTAATTTAGAATTCTTGAGCTTGGAAATTCTTGAACTTAGAAATTCTAGAAATTAGATATGAACACTAACTTTTGTAGGATTTTAGAACTTTAATTAGGTTGTGAACTTTAGAAATCTTGAATTATTGTAGGATCTTAGAACTTTATATTGTGAAATTTATAAATCTTGAATTATTGTGTAATTTTAAAACTTCTAGTTGTGAACTTTAGAAATCTTGAATTATTCTAGGATCTTAAACTTTAGGTTGTGAACTTTAGAAATCTTTAATTATTGTGGGATCTAAGAATTTTAGGTTGTGAACTTTAGAAATCTTATTGTAGAATTGTAGAACTTAAAGGTGTCAACTTTAGAGAACTTGAATCTTTGTAGAATTTTAGAACTTCATAAGGTTGTGAACCTAAGGAATCTTGAATTGTAGGATTTTGCAACCAGTAAATTGTGAACCTTAGAAAACATGATTTTTGTAGGATTTTAGACTTTAAGTTGTGAAACATTAGGAATCTTAAATTATTCTAGAATTTCAGAACTTTAAGTTGTGAATTTTAGGGATCTTGATTTTTGTACGATTTCAAAACTTTAAATTGTGAACATTAGAGAACTTAAATTTTTGTGGGGATTTAGAACAAAGGTTGTGAATTTTAGAGAATTTGAGTTTTTGTAGGGTTTTAGAACTTTAGGTTGTCAACTTTAGTAATCTTGAATTATTTTAGGGTTCTAAAACTTTAAGTTGTGAACTTTAGAAATCTTGAATTATTGTGAAATTTTTAACTTTAGGTTGTGAACTTTAGAAATCTTGAATTATTGTAGAATTTTAGAACAGAAAGTTGTGAACTTTAGAGAACTTGATATTTTTTTTGTAGAATTTTAGAACTTTATAAGTTTGTGAATGTTAGAAATCTTGAATAATTGTCGAATTTTAGAACTTTAAGTTGTTAACATTAGAGTACTTTAATTTTATAGGATTTTACAACTTTTAGTTTGTGAAACGTTAGAAATCTTGAATTATTGTAGAATTTTAGAACTTTAAGTTATAAATTTTAGGAAAATTGATTTTTTGTAGGATTTTAGAACTTTAAGTTGTGAACTTTAGAGATCTTGAAATTTATACGATTTTAAAACTTTCGGTTGTGAACTTTAGAAATCGTGAATTATTTTAGGATTTTAGGATTTTAGGTTATGAACTTTAGAAATCTTGAATTTATTTTAGGAGTTTAGAAATTCAAGAAGTGAACTTTCGAAATCTTTAATTATTTTAGGATTTTAGAACTTTAATTAGGATGTGAACTTTAGAAATCTTGAATTATTGTAGGTTTTTTTTTAATTTAAGCTGTGAACTTTAGAGAACTTGATTTTTGTAGGATTTCATAACTTTAGGTTGTGAACTTTAGAAATCTTGAATTATTTTAGGATTTTAGAACTTTAGGTTGTGAACTTCAGAAATCTTGAATTATTTGAGGAGTTTAGAAATTTAGGTTGTGAACTTTTGAAATCTTGAATTATTTTAGGATTTTAGAACTTGAGGGTATGAACTTTAGAAATCTTGAATTATTTTAGGATTTTAGAACTTGAGGGTATGAACTTTAGAAATCTTGAATTGTTGTGCTTTTTTAGAACTTTAAGTTGTGAACTTTAGAGAATTTGAATTTTTGTAGGATTTAGAACTTTAGGTTGTGAACTTTAGAAATCTTGAATTATTTTAGGATTTTTAAACTTTGGATTGTAAACTTTAGAAATTTTGAATTATTTTAGGATTTTGGAACTTTTGGTTGTGAACTTTAGAAATCTTTGAATTATTTTAGGAGTTTAAAACTTTAGGTTGTGAACTTTAGTGATCCTGAACTATTTTGAGATTTTAGAACTTTAGCTGTGTATTTTAGAAATCTTGAATTATTATGGATTTTTAGAACTTTAAGTTGTGTACTTTAGAGAACTTGAATTTTAGTAAGATTTTAGAATTTTAGATTGTGAACTTTAGAAATCTTGAATTATTTTAGAATTTTTTAGAACTTTAGATTTGAACTTTAGAAATCTTGAATTATTTTAGGATTTTAAAATTGTAAATTATGAGCTTTATAAATCTTGAATTACTGGGGGATTTTAGAACTTTAAGTGGTGAACTTTAGAAATCTTGAATTAAGAATTTAAACTTTAGGTTGTCAACTTTACAAAAATCTCTACTTATAGAATTTATGAACTAATCATTAGGTTTAATTTAGATGTCTTGATAAAATATAGTCTGTATGAACTACTTGTAATTTTAAAATGAATTTGAAAGACTTTAGAAGTCTTTAAGTTGTGATTAAGATATTTTTGAATGTTAATATGAATTTTTTAATTTATACTATGTGTAGATTCTTAAAAATATTTTGTGTTTGATTCGGGCTGAATTGAATTGAATTGTTATGTATTGCTTTTACAGGTGGGCAGTAGAAAGTCAGATTTTACTTTCAAAAAAATTGCAGAAAAAGCGACGGACAGGGTGGTTTTGTCCATCGCTTTTTGAGATTTTTTTTTTTAAAAAATAGAAAAGCGACAGGCAGTCCTTTAGTCCGTCCCTTTTCTTAATTTTATTTTTAATAATACCTAGAAAAGTGATGGATAGAGTTCTTTTAGTTCGTCACTTTTTTGTATTTTTCAAATTTTTATTTCTAATAAAGCGACGGACGCGTCTCATTGTCCGTCGCTTTTTAAGATTATAAAAAAATTAAAAATAAATTAAAGCGACGGACTTCGTCTCTTTTTTTAATTAAAAAAAAAGAAGCAAAGGACGGCGTCACATTCTTTAATAAAAAAAAGCGACGCAGTCCGTCGCTTTTGGAAAAGTGTCGAGCCAAAAAGCGACTAGATTGACTGCACCACTTTTGGATAAAAAAGTGTTGCAGTCCGTTGTTTTTTTTACGTCTCTTTTTGGCAATATTTTAGTAGTGACATCCAACTGATATGGCTCCCTCTACCAATAATCTGTCCACTTTTTCCCTTTAACACCTCATTGCTTCTTGTTCTATAAATGTAAATCAACAAACTATCTCATATAGAGACAACAAATATTACAATTGATTCAGGTAATGAGATTAACTTATATCATCAAGGAGATTGAGCCAACAGTAAGTAGTTGTTCCACTAGAAAGGGTGTTGAGAAAGTTGTAGCTACATGTGTTGAGGAATATACAGAAGAAAGTGGCAATATTAATTGATGATTGAGAGGAGAAAGATGTACTACTAAGGTTTTGGATCTCAGGAACCTTGACAGAAGAAATCATGTATCTGATTGTAGGTTTCTCAACTTCCTAGTATGAGCCTGCTTAGAATAAGCCTATCTTCAACCAACAAAATATAAGGAGTTTTAGCTTAAACATAAATTGCAAAGACTTAGGCTAGGAACCAAGAATATTAATGAATACATTAAGAGATTCAAAGACATATCTGACAGCCTTGGAGCCATTCACAAATATATAGATGAAGTTACCAAAGTAATCAACTTTGCTTGAGGTTTAGGTCTAAAGTACAAGACTTTTATAACTGTCATGCGAGGTAAGATACCGTATCCAACTCTTAAAAAATATTTAATTCTCTTAATTAGTGGTTTTGATATTGTTGGATATTTTTTAATACATTGAGGTCTTGAATTGAACAAATACATTTGTTCATGAAAGAACATGACTATTATGAAAAGTCATTTGTTCATGAAAGAACATGACTATTATGAAAAGTCATTTGTTCATGAAAGATATGACTATTTTGAAAATTTATTTGATCATGATAGAACATGATTGTAATTATGAAAAGTCATCTATTAAGTTCTATAAATATAAAGACTCTCTAGAAGTAGCCAATAGAAAAATTTGCAAGTGTATAAAAGGATTTTGTTGTATCCTCAAGGGAATCGCTTGCATATTTCTCAATAGCTTTATGAGCAATATCATCGAAAAGAAATTAAAGTTTCATCCCTCAAAGCCACCGTCTTCTAATTCCATAATACTTGTTATTATTTTTCTAACAGATATGAAAAAGGATGAAGAAAAAGTGCAACAACAGAACCTGCATTCTTTTCCAAAAAGGGAAAGGGAAAAGGAAACTCATCTTCGAGCAGAGGAAACAACAAATTTAAATCCGGAAGAAAAGATTTCAAGTTTGTTAGAAAAGGGTCAAATATTCATCGATTAGGCTATAAAGTACGAGTCTTCTCTTTTCAGGGTTATAGTATATAGAACCTAAATAATAAACGAATTGATTGTAGTCAGGTCAGAGCCTTCTATTGTCTGTTGGAGGAGATTGAATGAACTTCATACCGCACCTTACTTCATTGTTAGTTGATGTTGTTTCCAAAAAATATTTAAAATCATAGAAAATAATTATAATCACAACTAAAATATGAAGGAACATAACTTTATTGATAAATATGTAGGTACAAGTATGTTCGTCTCTTGATTCTTTCCTTAAGGAATTTATCCATAATTCGGAGGCCATTAAGTTGTATTTCTTGAACTAGGATGTTTGATATTGATATCTCCATGAATATTCCATAAATTTACAAAATATTCGCACTACTAAAGAAACAACGTTCAGAGACAGATATTAGCGACGAACGATATTCCATCGTTATATAATGACGGATTTGCGACAGAATAACCATTTTGTTGCAGAATTAAGAAATGATTTTTTGATTTATAATATAGCAACCAATTTGCAACTAAACATTTAATTCATCGCTAAATATTAGTGCGAAAATTTTGCGCCTAATTTTTCATAAGGATTTAATAACGAAGTACTGCTCACAAATTTAATTAATATCGCGTGAAGAGTTAGTGACGGAAAAATGGTTGCTAAACTATTAAATATATTTTATAATTATTTATATTATATAGTGACGAAAATTTCCGTCAATATAGTTTTTAAATTATATATACATTTATTTGAAAGCGACGGATTCTAGAATCCGTCACTTATTCTGTTGCAAACTCCAATTTAAGATTTCAATACTCTCATTTAATATTATCCGTCGATCATGGTTTGTTAAAATCCAAGAATCAATCATATCTTCTCATACGAATTTGATCAATGGTCCTGATTTAAGACCCTCTTTCCTATTTTATACAAAAGAGCCTAAACCCCAATTTTTTTCTTCATTCTCTTCCTTTCCTCTCCATATCCGCCGCCCAATTCCATTTTCCCTCCTCTCTGTCCTTCTTTCTAGCAGTGCAGCCTAGAGAACGAGCAGAGAACAACGCCATCCAGCAACATCCGTGAAACAAGCAGTTGGACAACAACAGAGAGCTACAGCAAGCACGCGTAGACTACCATCGAACATCCGTTGATGGCAACAACTTTAATCGGCAAGAAATCAGGCGATCTTCGTCCGCAAAAAAATCAAGGAGATTGCGCCACCACTTGTCTCCCTCTCCGGCTAAAATTACAACAACATCAGCTCCATGCAGCGAGTAGTGAGCACCTACAGCAGTCAGGTAGATCCCTTAATGTCATTTTGTTAAAGCTTACTTGTTCATATACTTTTCTGTTAATGTTTATTTACTTTTATTTTTCATTGTGGTTACCATTAATGTTTTTAGTATACTCTAGAATATTTTCCTATTATTTGTTCTATGAGTGATATACATTTTGGGGTTTGTCGCGCCCCATTTTCGCAGAAAACGGGTTTTGTGCACGACCTAACAACTCTTTTGGGATTTTCGAGTTTGGATTCGCCAGCTAACGAGTTAAGGCGCGTTAGGGCACCTATCTAAACTAACTAAGTCTAACTAAGGTCAACGAGCAAGAGAATTTGGGTAAGGGTTCAAATTACCTTGAGGGGAAGGTGTTAGGCATCCCTCGAGGTCCACAAGTGTGGGTCCCGGCCGTATCTCATGCAATCTATATGGGGGTTACAAGTAGCAATCAAGGTCACTTCATTATTATTCATTAATATGCTTGCTAAGTGATAACAAGTATAAAACAATTAAGGCTATTTTATCAATTTAAACATGCGAGACTAGATGACAGCAATAATAAACAATCAAGTTTTAAGCTTATTTAAGCATATGATACTATGTTATAAACAAAGTTTGTAATATTAAGCAATTAATATGTGAGAAAGTAAGGTTTTGAAAATTGAGCAAGTTTTGAATATGAAATTTTTATTTTAAAAAAAAATGTTTGTTTCTTTATAGGGATGATGCCACGATATTGTTGATCGCGCTCCTCCACCATAGAAACAATTTTGATTTGAGGTCGGTCTAAAAATAGTTTATGTTTTTGAAAAATGATTTAAAAGATTTAGTTTACACGTAGGCACATAATATTTACATATAAATGCACATAATTTCTTTTGAAATCCATGGGTAGGTGGTACTTCCGGGGACGCGTCGGTTTAAAAAGTGGAACTAGACCTCATAGTTCCTTTTACTTTCCCACTAACGATAGGTTAGGGGATAGTACTTGTAATTTATTTCAAAAATAATGTCATCATCAATCCAAAATTTCAAAGGAAGATTGAATAATGACTTTTAAGAAAATTATGTTGCAAAACTTTGTAAGTACTAAAAACTAGTAGAACATTAAGGTGGTAAATTTATTAAATGCAAAGGTTTTACGATGAAATATATTTAAAGCCAAATAATTTGTTAAATGCATGAAATGATTCTAGTACCATTATTATTTTAAGAATATAACATATTGCAAGGAATGCGGAAATCTTCAAGAAGACAAATAGGATTATTAATTAAATAATATTAACTAATTTTAGGGGGAGGACACAAATATGCACAAACAAGTTCTATTTTTTATGGATATGTTAAGAGTTTAATTACAAGCCTATAAACATGATTTCTAGGTGTTCAAAAAAAAGTAACACATATATGCATAATTTTGTAGATTTAAATGATATGAACAAATTAAACCTTAGGCATGGTTTCTACATGACAATATGATGCTAAAAGTTATAACATTGTTAAAATACCTAATCAGCCTACTAAATTATTATGATTTTATTTTAACATTAAAAAAAATTAATGGAATCTAGTTTAATATTTTTTAGACTTATTAACAAAGCATCAAACAATTGATTGGATTATAATACCTATAAACAATAATTCTAGGTGATTAAAGACAAACCTATAGGCATGATTTCTAAAAAAATTTAATGAACAAGTAAGCATTTAAATCCCCCTCCCCTAGACGACCCCCAAATAAATTTATATATATGATCTTTTAGAGTTACAATTGTTACAACATTCGAATAAATAAAATAGGCAAAAAATAAAATATATATATACATTCAAATAAACAAATAAATCTTTCTTCAATTAATCTTCAACTTGAACTTTAAGTTTGAAACTTGTCAAAGTAATCAAATAACTACACAAGTAATTACACTTATTAGTCAAGGTGAGACAATATGCAATTATTTTTAATAACGAATTCTACATAAAAAAACAGACAATAGCTTACACAAATATGTGAATGTGAAGATATTATAAATGTTAAGAATACTAACCGGTTAAGAAAAACAAATTGATTCACCTTTACTCGAACAAAGTATTAAAATAGCGAAGAACACTTGAATATTTACCGGAATATTAATGTGTTGTTAAACTAGCAAGAGAGCAATGAGAGAAGAGAGAGTCATGAGAGAAATTTTTGATTGAGAGTGAATGGGTGTGTGTGTGTTGATGAGATAATGAATGGAGGGGGTCTTATTTATATAGCAAAGAGGGGAAACAAATAAGGTAAACAAATATTTTAAGGAATCAATCAAATAGATTATTTTTCTAATTTAAAATAGAGCCAAATAGAAAAATTTTAAAATATTTTATTACCAAATATAAACAAAATAAGAATAACTAGGAAGAGTAATATTATTTTCCTTAAATAAAGAAGAGATAAAATTAGATTTTCTATTTTACGAAATATACAAACCAAATATGCCCATTTTTTAATTAAGATAAAGAAAATCAATTATTCAAGATACACCATATAGAGAAAGCAAGGAACAAAATAATTTAACACAATCATAGGTTGATACATTTAAGCACCCAAAACAAAATATTCACAGCCTAAAATACTCATCAGCAAATCAATCACAACAAATTCTAGAGTTAATGATTTTAATTAGTTGAAATAGCCTAAAATTAAGTCATAGTACCAATTCCAACAATCAACATATCAATTAGTAAATCCATTTATGCTCTAATTGATTAATACAAGTTCATTTCTAATTTGAAATAGACTGAGAAGTAGAATCGATTAAGGGAGAGAAACAAACTATTTAGTGAATTCCATCAATATTAACAAATAACCAAGCGATAACAAACAGATTCATGGCAAACATAGGATTTTCATTAATTTTGAAATGAGATTCAAAACGATTATTAAATTTCATACAAAGTAAACATACATCAGTAAATCAAAATCCTATTACAACTAAGAAGAGAGGAATAGATTAGCTAAATGACGATATGATAATTTTAAAAGAGATGTACCTCGAAGGATCTAAATAGATCCGTCCTTATTATATCTTCACCGGATATCGATGTTGTTGATGATTGTTCGTCGTAGGCGTTGCTGGCGCTGGCCTTGATTATGAGCTTGTGGTCGCCTGGAAACCTCGCTTGGTGGCTGCAGGAGTTTCGTCTGCTCGCCAATGGAGTCGCCGGTGTGGGTCGTCGGTAGAGCCTGCTGGCCGGAGTTCGCCTGACTGGACCTGCTAGTGGTGGCCATCGACATGCGCTTCTCTTGCTGCTGCTTCTCTGTTGCCTGGCAGCTCGCCTAAGTGCTGCCAGCGATGGAGAAAAGAAGGCAGAGAAGAAAGGAATAGATGAAAGATGACAGAGAAGAGGAGAGAGAAGAAGGTGGCGTTGGTCGCCGGTGTGTCTTTTGCTCTCCTCGTCGGCTGCTTGCTGCTGGAGAGCAGTTTCTGCTGCTGCTTGCAGCTTCACCAGTCACCGGTGATCCTCGTCGGCTGCTGGTCGGATAAGAGAGATGGCAGAAGAGGGAGAAGAGAGGGGTGGCGGCTGGCGGAGATACAGAAGGAGAGGCGGCGTCTCACCGGAGAGAATGGAGGAACGAGAGAGAGAGAGGCTTATCTGTTAAGAGAGAGAAGAAGAAGATAGAGAGAGGGAGGAAGAAGAAGAGAATTTTTTAGGTTTTGGGTCTTTTTGTGTTAAAAAGAGATAGAAAAAGTTGATCTCAACCGTTAGATTAGATAGAGATGGAGGGTTAGGATTCGATTATAATTTAATGGAGGGGTGAGATTGAAAGGTAATATTTTAAAGTTAGATTGTATGGCTAAAATTGAAATAAATATTGGGTAGAATT